GGAGTTTCTTTAGTGACGTCACTGTTTAGCACTGCCTACCGTCAGAGTAATGAAAATGTATCACGGAATAGAAGCCGCGATTCACATCCTATATTGATACCGTTCTTAGGTATATTAGACGGACTGCAATGATCCATCATTGGTTGGTGATCCATGACTGGGTGCTTTAATCTTTTTAGCCACTGACAGGGGAAGTCCTAACTTGTCTGCGACTTCTTCCTATAGGTTTTCGGGTCAATGTGTATAGTATCGCAAATGTAAGGACTTAAAAAATATAATTTCATTATTTTAATTTAATCATTTTAAAATTATATTTCCGCAGCCCCTGATATCTATTGATTATGCGAGTGATATCTTCCACAGACACTCCCGCATTCTTAGCCACGAAATTTGGGCTGGTGTATCCTCTCAGGTTATCGTTTCTCCAGCTCTTCTGATTTTGGTCTTGGTCCACTTCCAAAGAAGCTAAAATGCTAATATAATATTCATCGCTCAAAAAGTCACACCAATAAGGAGCTGAGCGATCTTGATGAAATTTGGCAAACATACTCTTATTGGTATGTCATGAAATTGATGCTAGTTTCAAGGTCGTAGGTTGAATATTCGAAGAGAAAACTTGCCAATCATCCCAATTTAAATGGGGCTGGTGGGGTCGTACTTATCGCCCACAACGAACATCTAAAAGGGTTTATTAATGAAATGCGATAAAGGAACATCTACTGATTTTTAGTACAACGAAGCAAAGTTTCAAGGTCCCAGGATTAAGCGATGCAGGGAAAACTTGCCGAGCTAGCCGAACTCCCAAAGGATGGGGAATAGGACGACTACACTAATCAGGCCATGACACTTCTGACCCCATTTAAATCGGGATGCTTGGTAACTTTTCTCTGTGAATATTCGACCTACGACCTTGAAACCAGCATCAATTTCATGACACACTAATACGAGTATCTTTACCATATTTCATCAAGATCGCTCAACTCCTTGGTGTGACTTTTTTTGTCGATGAGTATATATGTTGGGTTTTTCTCTCCTTTACCAAGCCATAGTGCCACGTTTCCCGAAATGGCGCAAAATGCTGTGGGCCCCTTTAAATAACACTCTCAAATATTTCCTCTTGCGCTGCTTCCCTCAGGCAGCATATTAATATTTATCGTTGAGAAGAGCTGTGATATAGCCTCCTCACGAAGCATCCATATTTGCAGGAGTGTCAACTGCCCTACTCCATATGACTGATTTGCTGGAAGCACAAGATAAACTTACACGTTGTAAACTGTGACTCGGAAAAAGCTTGCGACGAGGACGGACGCAGTGCTGCGTTAAATTTGATGCCATAGCAGCGAAATATCCCTCCGCATTCTAGAAGTTTTTGCCTTTCGATACCGCTAAGTTTCTGCGCGTTTCATGAATTCGGAATGGAAGAACAGATGGGTGCCACTGTCATTTTTAACGCGCGTGTCCACAGCGTGGAGAAGAACCGGATGAGATGCGTAAGTTCTCTCTCGTCGTACAGCGAGACGCCAAGCATATTTCCTCGCTGCGTTTCCCCAGTTCGGGCCAAATGTCGGGACGGGTCGGTTGGAGATCCGACACTTTCGGATGCACTCAACTTTCGTCGCATGGAGCTGTGCTTCTCCTTGCAAATATTGAGAAGCGTTTCTGAGTGCCCGAGTCCCTGGCTGTGAAATTCAAACGCTTTTACAACTTCTCGATTTTTAAAAACCTTTTTTTCCTATATGGTCTCTCCATATCTTGAGAAGAGATCTTGGCAATGCTTTTATGGACACGATCTGAAGGTTCCTAAGACTTTAACAGGTTGACCGCCACGGTGCGCACCGGTGCGCCTCACTGAGTCCCTTTTCCTGCTCCATGGGTCGCACCGGTTCGCCCCGTGCTTCACGTTCTCGAAGGGATGTAAACATGTATTTTAGCCCAGGAAAATCACCGTCACCAGGCCAGTATGGCCTGGTCAACGTGTTAAATGATGTTCCACATTTCGAAAAGTCTCACATTTACTGTTACCACTGGGATGGTAAAAGTGATTCAATAACTTTCCGTCGTTATCTTGCTTAAGTTCTCGAGATTCCTGGAAGAACTGGGATTTACAATAGATGATTCAACATCTTTGAGAGGGTACTCGTCGAACGCTATTCAATGATAAACTTGCTCTTTGCATCCTGGTTGGATTCCAAAAGGCAACGTACTTCATACGTTGTTCTGCTTCGAAAGCTTTCGGAGGCGAAGGTGAGTTGTGTGATTACATTTTGCAAATAATTGACTCTCGGAACTCGTACAAGAAAACCGAACTTTAATTTTGAACATATTGAGCGAACGAGGAAAACGCTGGTTGCGCAGTGCCCGTGGCGGATAGAGAAATTGATCGTAGGTTCCCTAGTTCCTACCTATCCACAACCCCCTTCCCCCTTCCACCACTCCCCGCCCTATCGTCTTTTTCACTTCTTGTCAAGGGTAAAATCTTAAATACCTTTCTATCTGGCCCCAATGAATATTTAAGGTATATGTTATTTAAATAAAAAATCTTTTAAAAATATAATGCTAACCCATCCATAGGGGGGGGGGGGTGGTTGCCCCCTCTCCTTGTCCCTCCTTGATCCGCCACTCGTGTAGCATGATTAGCGATCAGAAGTAGCAGCAACTCTCACAGCAGTTTCAGTTGCATGCAGTGATTGAGGCTTTTCCCGCAGCATTTCGCATGTCTCGTTTCACTTTATTTTAAAGACTGGCTAATGAGAAGCCTTCAAGTTCTACTTATAGTTCATGTTGTAAAATTCAGGATATATAATATCATTTTCTTGATACGTCGGGCGATGGGTTCACTTGTAGAACTGCCGACAACGATAGAAGGAATGCGACAGTGAATAATGATCCTCGCCTCCCTTCTCGTCTTTCAAGATGAATGAAGGAGGATGACGGGGAAGCACAGGTACCTGCTGCGAGTCCGGGGCGAGGATTTCGCGCTGCGCCTGGAGGTGGAAAGCCGAGAGGAGGTGGAGAAGCGGCTCAGCGAGGAATCGTTTGCCCGGGTCCTCCCGACCCAATACTTCCTCGAGTACCTGGACGAGGAGGAGAACTGCTACGTGCGGGTGCTGAAAGCGGATGAGCTGCCGGAGGGAGGGCATCTCAGGGTGTCGCCGCTCTATGGCCTCGACCAGCCGCCGCCACCATATTATCCGCCTCTAGATGTGAGATCATCTCGCTTTCCCCATCTCGACCATTCTTTTGATAGGGACACTGCTCTGTTTATATGCTGGACAGTGCCCATACTTTTCACATTATCATTGGCGAGCCACACGTGGACTCTTAATGCTATGGAAACACTCCAGCCTTAAATAAAGAAATTCCAGGTAATATAACTCCATGTTACAAATGGAACTCTTTTCACATTTACGTCATCCAATCTTCAGTCGAAACATTTTTTCCGTCGTCCGCAGGGGAAAAGTCTGTTTCAATTGTTTCCAGAAATTCTGAATATATAACTATAACGGACTGATTCCCGTGCATGAGTTCCGAATGACATTTCTGATTAATTCATCGTATTATGAATATCATCTTGGAAATATGGAACTCTCCACATTGACAATCTCTCGGAAACAACCCAGTTCGTGAAGCGAATCATGCAGAATTCCGAATCCCCCTAAACCCCATGCATAAGACCTCCTGATACGACGGTAATCAGAGGTTTCTTCCTCCACGTGAAGCCGTTATCATGCGGATACATCCCGGATACGAGTTATAGAACAAACATGTCTCCTTTTCCTCATCTATATAATAATATCCGGCGTACTCTTGTCCTGTCTGTCCGCCGGAGGCCTGCACGATGAATTTTTCCGAACCCGACCCCATCGGCCCGATTCGAAACGTGGTCCTACCCGACACGAAACTCGATCGCCGGACTGAGCAAGCCCGCAGCCTGCCCAGGCCTCTAAACTTCAGAATTCGGGGTCTCCGGGTTCGTCATTTTATCTAAAAGCCCTGATACACGAGGCAAGAACTTGCTAGCAAGTCCTGCTTACAAGGGGCAAGCGAGGATATACACGAAGTAAGTCGACTCTAGCAAGGACTTGCCTTCACTTGCTCGAAAGTTTTGAAGCATCTGTGAAACGAAGTCGAAAAGAGCGAAAACTCACCAACTAATAGATGTCAAGGAGATCTACGACTACGATTGCGGCATAATTTCGGTGGCACGGCGCCGCAACTCTCCATTGAAGCCTTACCGGCTTCCGTGAACGACCTTGCCGGTGGATTATCATGATTAAGGAGTATCACGGCCGCTCAATCAGGGATCTAATATGAGTGAGCAATATCTCTCTTGATTTAACTCATGGGGGTCAGGCAATAATAGGGTAGCGCAGAAAGAAACATTCGTCTTTCAAGAAGAATACGATGTTTCAATGATTAGAACCCCAAATCTTTTCAAAATCAATCTCGCAATTCCAGAGATTTACTCTTTCCTGCAGTCAAGTAGTTCTCACGCGCTACTTTGCTCGTAATGCTAGAAGTTGCTTAAAATAAACTCCCCACGGTTTTTTCCTAATACAAGTACCAACTTTTGGGAAGAAGCAGAATAGTGCCATATAATGGCAAAGAAAGATACAGCCCTGTAAAGTCGGAAAAGTGGGAAATTTTGAGTCATCCCAGATATTACCCCCCTGTGCTTACAGGGGATGAGACCACCTGTTGGAAATAATGCATCATTTTTCCTAGGACATTACCTCACTCGGGGGTCTAAGCCAAATCGAGACTAACGCGACTTCCATGGTTCACCAATTCTTTTATGAACTTGGAGCGATTTTTTTTAATTATATACAGGTAGAATAAAATTTTCAAAGTAGTCAATCTGACAGAATCAAAATGGTATTTTTGATTCTGTCATTTACAAAATGATTTTAAATATCCACGAAATCTGGGTTCCTATGTTTGTGGGGAAAAAAATTGCGGGAAAATCTGAGACACTGGATTTTTTGGCCAATTAATGCCTGCAAACCCACTGTACAGGGGCTATTTCGGGGAATTTTCATTAAGAAACTAAGACCAGAGGGCTCGCCTGCTCCTACTAAGTGCGGGGGACGCCATGAACAGAGCGGACCCTAACTCCCTAATGGAGGCACAGGCGAAGAGAGTCCTCCGCGGTTTTCGTTTATTTGGAAATTCGGGGATTTGGGGTGACTGACGGGAAGCACTAAATATTATTTATCCAAAATATGGCTGATCAAAATTCCAGCTCTTGGTTTCATTTAAGTGTTACCCGACATAAGTCAATAAAGTTCAAATAAGAGGACGTGAATATTTCACGGGTACCAGCTAGTTGAGAATATAATTATTATGAAACAAGGCACGCGAAGCATCCAAAGGATTCAAATTATGATGATGCTGGCGAACACCCTCGCCCTCTCTCACCCCTCCCCCCCCCCTCCCCCAACCACTCCCCCACTCACACTTGTGTTGCAGTAAATGCGTGGTATGCTTTCGATGTCTCCTATCGCGAGTGCCTTTAAGGGTTTCATTCCTTCATGCACAAAACAAGTAAAGAGAAAATGCGGCTGTGGGCGACAAGGCAGCAGGTGGATTTCCATCGAAATGGCTATCTTAAGAGGGTAAACCCATCTGATAACGCATAAGCGCGGCACCTTGAGACAGGAAGTGATCTTGAGTGGTGAAGTGATCCTCTTCGCGTTCCATCCGATTATTCAACCTTGAACGATACAATGAGTCGGAAGTTAAGAACGCGTTTAGATATCTCGGCTGCGTCTCTCCACACTCTCGGTGAAGGGTAAAACACTGACGGAAAAGGATGAAAATCTTCTGGAACATGAAAAATAAGATTTGAATTTGAATCGAGGAAATGGTGGGTTTGGGAAGGGAAAACAGGACATCGAGTTATGAACATAACTAGAACTTCCTGGGAGATAGGGGAAAAGACACCCTTGCTTTCTGTTCTCAAATGCATCTTGACAACATGAGAAAATGATTAATATCGTTTCTGAAGAGGATTCCCAGATATAAACTTTTTTTTTCAATTTCTGAGATCTCTCAAGTAGAAAGAGGAAAGATGTGGTGAACCTGTAAGGATTCCTGCTCAATGGGCATTTGCAAATATTATGAGCAAAAAATTCTCAGTGGTGAAGTCCAGGACTCATTTATCGTCCTTCCATTTTTTTGTTCCATTTCTCTGCCGCCTCGCATTTCGCTTCCCTACCTTCACAGAGATGAAAAGTCTTCTCTGTCTGGCATATCCCATGAAGAACAAAATGCGGAACCGGCTTCATAAACGTCAACGAAACGGTCGAACTCCGGGAATTTCTGCCCTGTTCTACGAACGCAGAGGGGAAGCGCGAATGATATCTGCATAACGAAAGAGTTATTTTCCTCAAATGTCGCGTTTTCCGCTCTCGAAATGTTCCCAAGCCTCCCGAAAGAATTCCGTTTCCTTTCGCTCTTTCCCGATCTCTTCGGATGATCTCCGATGCTCTCCTTTCTCCCGTAGAAGTCGGTGTTGGACACGACGCCCGGGAGGATATATCAATACTTCGGGGAGCCTCATCTGCCAATGTACATGTCGCCTCCGACGCCGAAGTACGTGACACCTCCGGCGCCACCGTACGTGTCGCCTCCGGCGCCGCCGGGCGCACCCACTTCATTAAATGTGAGTACGGTTCCGCGCGTCAGAACGTAGCGCTTTATGACGTAGTTTATGCTAGGTATCCTCATTCTCGGTTTTTCCCCTCCTCTCGAGGCCGACAGAAATCGCTTATCGCTTCAAGCTTAGATAATGATGGTTTTCGTATGATACGCAACGCGACCCCGCTGCTGATAGCAACAGTAAAAAAAAAGACCCATACCTTAAATTGAAAATCCGCGGCCGGTTTAATATCGGAATGAAACAATTGAGAAGCGCTCAAGGCTTGTATCTACCTTTCCAGAAAAAAAATACATCTCTTTGCATAAGCCGATTTCATTGCCTTTCGCGTTCCGTCCTACCTACCATATCTTCTACTATTATCTGACCAGAAAAAAGTGCAGGTCATGTGCTACAAGTCGCAAACGCCGCACACGGAGTGCCAGACGTCACCTCCGCTCACCCCCCTTTGCCCTGCCCTGCCCTATGAGGTGATCGCCCTGGTGTTGTCGCACTCGCAACACCAGTCTCCCATGACCGCGAGTACTTAAAGTGTTTCATCGATTGCCGCTTTGTACAGGCTCTGCCAGGCAATCAAGCTGCCGGTGTCGATCGACTCTAGTAGCTTCAAATTCAACTTTATCATGGAATCGAGAAGAATGAATGTAGGCAACAATTTGATTTGATCTGCCTCATCTAAATGTAGAGAAAAAGACGCAAGAAAGCGCCGATATCACTTGCAGTGCTGGACTGATTTGGTTTTTTCTTTAAGAGAAAAGGAAAATCTCGGTTTTGTTACAAGTCGGACGAAATTACCGAGTCGAGCCATGGTAATCTACAAAGCATGGGACAATACGGAAAAGGAAAGTGGCGTTGCTTAAAAGTGTTGCACTTATACGGGAAATGGAAACCCTGGTGGTTCTGGAATCAAGGAACTTGGTGATAATATGCCACAAATTTTCCTATTTTCTGAATGTTACGCAAACGTAGCCAAAGCAGATTATTAGTTTCTCCAGAGTAGCTGAGGTACCAATCATAATAACTCATTCACCAAGACCATTCGCACTTCAAGCCTGGACAAAAACGTGAGAGCAAATTTCGGATGGAATAAAGTATAAAGATATCTTGCTTTACATTCTTGGCGTAGGGCGAGGACAAGTTTAAAAGCCGGCGAATGAAACCTTTTCATTCACGCACACCGAAAGGAATCCGCAATGTACGATCCCGATGGATCCCTGGAATCATGAATGCGAATGAGAAGCCATGCCTAACGGATGGCGTCCACTTCCTTTCCGCGTGTCGTAGACGGGCTGGAATACGGTGCCGTCTCGAAGGACTCGGAATCTTTTTGGATCGTTCGTGTCGATTCTGTCTCGACACGGAAGCGGCGCCGAACGTCACGATTCCGTCATCCAAAGTCCACCCACGCAGCGCATGTGTGCTCGAGTCCGTGGGATTTCCCCGTCCACTCGCGTTTTCTAATCGGCCGTCTGAAGGCTTATCTCGAGAGACGGGATAAGTTTTCCTAGAAATTCAGAGGTATCCTCGAAACAACCGTGGGAAGCAATCACCGATATCAGATGCAGGCAATGACCCGAAACGGGCGTCATGAGATACATATATTTTTCCTAAGATAAAATTGGGACAGTAAAACTGATGTAAAAAGAGGGGAATTCGCCTATTTTCTTCCCGTTTGCCACTTTTCTACCTATCGTTAATCCCAGCCGCATTGTTCCCCAACATTTCAATACCGCTTCACAGTTTTGTATGTCACTTGTTTTTATTATCATCTGGGTCTGATATGCATTTCTTATCGACCTTTCACCTGTAATTTAACATTTGTTTTGCCTAAAGGGTATCATTTACAGGGTATAAGAGGTAAGATTTACCTCTTATGAAAATACCTTGCAGCAATTTTCCCTCATATCATAGGCGTAACATTAAGCCAGAGTCTATAATTAACAGGTCCTAATCAGATCACCCATATGTGCGTTTTCACCTAAAAGTAAAATCATGACTTGCACGTGTGAATCACATTCAGAGCCACGTAATGGAAACTTCCGAGACCCTGAGATCAGCTTAGCCTAACGCCAATACATTTAAAGATTATGTAGGTTTAATAAGGTAAGTCACATCACAAGACGAATATATTTATTCAGAGCCTCACCACCAACACTGGGCAGGAGGAATTTTCAGTCATGAGTGCTACCGGGCGTAGTTACAACGCATTCCACGAGGATAACAAAGAAAAGCGCGAAGGTGCTGGGGGAACTTTTTTTTTTTTTTACCAGGAATTAACCAAATTTAACTTTTGAGTCTTATCTCGTTTGACGATCCTGCTTACGGGGAGTCCTTTCCCATAAGCATCAGATAAAAATCGACGATTCCCTTTTTTTTATCACTTTTTCCCCTCTCTTAAGTTGTCAGAAGACACTTTCGGGAAACATTTGGGGGAAAAAGCTGTGAAGTTTCAGCGAAGGAGGGGATAACGCTTTGCATGGGCGTCACCTCGTGCAACAGTACAATGCCATTCCATCGAAGCCCTACTAGGCTGAGGTTCATGAAACCTTTTTCCTTCTTCATTTCGATGGATTTTTAATTTCAATTGCTGAAAATACTTGTTATAGGTATAGGGCCATTCCCATCTCCAAAAGTAAGTATGGCTCTCTGCTCGACGTAATAAAACCTTCGATCGCGAGGTGCACAAATATTTTCTCTGGAATCAGCTTTTATTCACATGAATTGGGAACTTCAGAGAGGCAAACTAATTGTACATCTCTCAGGCAATCGATCCTTATTCCCTTCTGAACATAATTAATCATGATTTTCATATGCATGAGGATGTAGCTTCCCCTCTTTCCCCTAGATCCCACGCGAGGGTTCGACGGATGGCAGGAGGCTCAGTACGACGCCGACCACTAATTTACAACAGCCGGATCACGCCGTTCCACTTGTGAGTTTTTCTTCCACTCTAGTTCTCCCATGTTTCCAAACATGATATGTAACTAAGAAATGGCGAGGCCGAAATAGGAGGCTTTCGTTTATCTTTGGAGCAGTTACCGTAGGGATTCGCTTGTCTTCCGCACGTTCCTCCCTTGTCATTCACGCTTTCGCAGCAGAAACTCCCCTATTGACGAGTGGAACGCTTCAGGAATAAGAATGACTTGCTCCTAGTTTAGTCGCTCGTTGAATGATCCTACTGCACGCAATTTCTGCATACCCCTACTCACTGACATCCCACATGAAGTTTCAGGACAGGGCATCATAGGGCGTTAGTCATTCGTCGCAGGAATTCATCATTTCGAGTTCCTTTGCCAAAACGGGATGTTGCCAATAGTCGACTAATAGGAGAATATTTAATGGAAAAGAAACTGCCTTAGGGCACAAAAGTCGTGCCAAATAGGGAAGTTCATTGTTGCACTACATTAACTCGTTATAGTATGAAATGACCCATCGCCACGCCGTCGAGAGCGACCGCTAGGATTCCACTCCGCGGAATCCTAGCAGCGATGAGTTCAGTTTTAGACTTTGACGAGCTGTTACCATATGATGTTGAAATGGCGAAGGTGAGAAAAGAACAGAACTAAAAGGGCGAGGATGGGGCCTAGAAGACCTTGAAGATGTCAACTTCTCGATTCTCGCGTGTCAATGTGTCCTTGGATGCGGAAACATTTAATGTGGTATATAGGTGAGATTCTTGTCCTTGAATGCCGTACACCGTGCGAATCCTGCACGGCATACGACCACTAAATTCACTCTCAGATCACTGGACATTGGAATCGTGCATATGAACTCGGATGCATCGTTGGGCTGTGGCGGAGATGGGGAGAGGGGGGAGGGTGAGGTGGCGTCGCGTTATTATTATATGACGCAGCAATCTATATAATATTTCCGAATTGTTGTGTGCTTCTCTGTATGTCTTTTAAGCACAGCCACGACTCTGATCCCAGTCCGACCAAACTTTGTATGGCTTCCTTATTTGGTCCGGGGATGGTCATAGGTTAGGTGCCGTTTCCAAATTCCCACCCCTGGGACAGGGCCGGACCTACATCAAATGACGCCCCAGACAAGGAATGTCTTTCCTCGCCCCACCCACCACGCCTCAGGCGATCGCCTGCAACTAAATCCTTGTTTCGACTGGGGTCTTTTCCTTGGTGTAGTCGAAACGCGCCCCTTTTGCCCTACCAAGGGTGCATTTTGCCCCAGGCGTTGTCACAAAGCCCAGGCAATTTCCTTCGTGATACACCTGGGTTTCGAGCCGGTCGAAACAGGTCAGGCCGCATTCCTTGATGTGAGGTCCTGGAGTGCTCCTTTCACTCTCTATCTGCGGCCTGTGAAAATGACGACGCAATGGGCTGAAGAGGACGTGAAAGCATTTCTCCTGTTCATATACTTAAATATTCAAGCGTTTCCCAATGGAAATTTGAGAAATAGGAAGGCTTACAAAGGCTTACGCTGATGAGCTACGGAAAAGGGGGACCGAAAAGTTTACAATAAAATATTGAACTTCAAAGAAAATAATAAAAAAAAAGTGAAGGATTGCGATCGTGCCAACGGTAACTTTCCAGCAGCCAATCCGTTTTTGGCTTTCCTCGACCCCTTCGAGTCCACACACTCCGCGGAGTCCCTGTTTGGCATTGCGCAGGAAATAACGTGCTTCCATCCATTCTGAATCCTTGGAATGAGGGGCAGTCGAAACGTCCCTTGGTGTCAAATGCCCTAAAGGCTCATGCCAAGGGTGGAAGATTCCACAGTTGGGCTAAAAGCACTCAGGTTAATGAGGACATATTTAATTAATGACTCATTCCCAAGGAGACCGAATACCTTGGAGACTGGCTGGTCGAAACAAGGCTAAATATGGGACATATACAATATTCACCCGTGCAATTCCGGGTACCTCTGGTAGTGCTGATTGAAGGTCAGAATGCCGAGCGCTCGTCGTCCCGTGCGACTGCGCAAAGATGGCGGGAAGCAGTGTTTAGTTAATCGCTAAAATACTTTCAGCCGCTCGGCAAAAACCGATGTCCATTTCTGGGACGGGATTACGGAGTGTAAGACGCTAGTAGGACCCCTACTCTTTGCATTCCATTGCCTTAATTATACCTGACGAAAGAGAGTGAATTTCACATGGTCTGAAAGGACGAGACACGGAAGGAGAAGGGAGAATTCACTTGTGAGAATCGTCACCTGAGGGTTGGGTTTCATGTGTAAAGCAACATACTGAGAGCGGATATACCTTGTTTTTCTTCGCCTATCGCATTGCTTCCCTTTCCGTAATGGCCCGTTCTCCGTAGACGCTTCGTCTGCATTCTATAGACGATAAGGAAAAAGATAAACTCAGGTAATGACAAGAGAAGATAAAAAATTTTATTACGAACGTTGATCCAAAGGTAAAGAAATAAAAAAAGATAGCCAATTCTATCGCCAAACGGGAACGGTGTACGAATACAACAAAATGCCTTTCACAGGTAATTCAAGTGCCCAAGAAAAAATTTGATTTAAAATTGATCGAAACATTTAATAGAGACGGGCAGACATCACAACACAATAA